TATATATATATATATATATATCGGCGCTACATATATATATATAATAAAATTTGTTTTGTCAAAATATAATTATCATATAATTAAAATGACACAAACAAAATAAAATTTTAAAATATATATGTATTTTCGAAATACATACATATATATATACATACATATATATATATATATAAAATTATCACAACTATATATTTAATATTACTTCCACTAGTGTAGTATACTACTCCCTTACAAGTCCTAAGTGTGTGACCCTTTAGGTATCCATAACACTGGCAATGATATTAATAAAATTAATACCATAGATAATAAGCGGTATCTAGCAACACATTATTACCCCCAGATTATGAAAAAGACGTTCATCTCATCAATACCTTCTACGACACAAGACATTCTATAACTATTATCCTTCTGTAATATAATAGATGATTCCTGGTAACATTTACTTATGCACTTGTTCTATTTCTATTTCAATCAACTTCTCTGAATTCTTGTTATATGTTCTCTCTTTTAGAAATTGTACAAACATTCCAACCTCGTCACAAATCCCAAATCATTTTTTTCCAACCGCGAGGACGTGGTTGTGTTTAAGTGTGAGGAGGTAGTTACTTGGTTGAAATGTTTGGTTGAAATTTGTTTTACATGTATACCTGTAGGCAGTCCTTGTGTTATCATGATCTTTGGGCTAGCATTGGGTAGTCAACTGTTAGGTTGTCAATCATGAATTGGAGATTTCAAAACTTTAGTCATACTCTAATTTTTTTCAAAAAGCGTCTACTTTTGCTGAATGTACTTGGTTTCTCAAAGTTTTTTTAAGGCATCTTATTAAATTATCTTTTTGAGTTATTGGTTTCATTAAAATTCTGGTCATGATGTAGAGGTTTTCATAAACTTCTTAATCATTAATTTGGGATTTTTGTTATGGTTGCGCTTAAGTGACGAATTGGAAATTCTACCTCCATTTGGGGCTCTGCTTCTTCCGTTAATCGCATAAGGCGAGGAAGCAAGTATATTAGTAGAATAAATCCACAACCTTAATGAAATGAAATTAAATAAAAATATTCCAATGGAATAATAAAAAATAAAGAGAAAAGTCTCTAGTCAAAAGAGCAAATTAAATTGAATTCATTAATAAGGCCTCTACATTTTGCTAAGTATTCAATGATAATCTATTCTCATGAGAAACGTTTAGGTCTTTTGTTCTTGACAAATTCTTTTTGAAGGAATAGTCATTTCCACAATGGTTTACCCTTGTTTAATTCCATCTAGTTTAAATGCTTGTTCGATAAAAGTCTTTGTTTATTTCTAACAATTGAAAGTCAACTCTAGCGGTCTAGCTACTTAGTAGGGAACAAAGATCATATTAACCAAATTTGCCTCTTGTTGATACAATTAAAACTCTTTTCAGCAACTGTTAAGGATTGCCGTATTTTCGATCATTGAATTTTGTTGCTTGAGGGCGAGCAACGTTTAAGCGTGAGGAATTTGATAAGAACATTTTGTTCTTATTTTCTTCTACATATTTTAAGCGTTATTGCACGTAAATAGTGATCAACAAAGCATAATTTTATGTTACACTGAGCAAATTCCGCTAAAATTGTTCTCTAACGATGAATTATGAGTTTAAATTAATTCAGTTGGGATTTCTGATTTTATGTTCATATTTGAGGGGAATTAATTGTTTAATTTGAGAATATTTATCATGAGGAACTGGAAGGGAACAAATATTCAAGTTAAAGCATTTTTGGAGTTGAGATTTGGGCCAGGACATGTTAAATGCGTGCAAATTAAAGAATTGGGCCCAAGGAGGAGTGAAAACGCGCTGGTCCAAAGTAAGAGGAGCCGAGGCATCCCCAGGAGACGCCTCAGATTTGAGACGCTTTGTGCCGTCTTGCAGAACACGATACGATGGACACGTGGCGAAGAACGGATGGAACGCACTCCAAGTGTCTGTGTAGGGACGCCTGGAGGGGCGCTTGGGAGGGACGCCCTGGATCTAGTTTTGCTATAAGTAGGACGTGTCTCTCCGATTCAACACATCAATCCCATCATCAACCCTAGATCTAG